TCTTCGTCACAACCCAAACATCAATACTACCCAAAATTTCCAGTCCAATGGTCAACAGAAAGCAAATCAGAAAATAATAATCTCCCTTTTAGCTCAAATACTAATTCCAAAGTTCAAACCATGCCACCCCACCTAGTGTCTAAGCCATCCTTCTCAGCTACAGTGCCAGCTGCTCTTGCCAATAGCTCAAGTACCAAGTAACCAGTGGAAATTACGCACGGTACTCATATGGGTAAACCCACAGTATACTTCACTGCCCATGACTATTTTATTACATTAGCTGAAGATTGGAAATTTACAATTGTTGGGAAGTTCACCTGAGGTAAACCTAGTATGGAAGAAGTAAAGAGGTTGTTCATGAGTCATATCCCTCTCAAAGTTACTGTTAAATAGCCTACTATGATATAAATCATGTTTATATTGACTTTACCAATGAAGCAGACTTCTACCACATATACTTTAGACCATTCACCACTCTTGGTCCATATATAATGAAGATTATTAGATGGACCCTTGATTTTGCCCTTGAATGTGAAACTACAATTGCCCATGTATGGATTTTGATTCATCATCTCCCCTGGCATCTTTTTAGATGGGACACCTTGTACAGAATGGTTAGCTCAATTAGTATTACCATGGCCCCGGATATGGCCACTTACTCTAAGTATAGGGGTAACGTGGCTAAGCTTAAAGTTGAAATTGACCTCTTAAAGCCTAGACATGATCAAATCTGGCTGGGTTTTAAGAGGTTAGATAGTATTGAGGAAGATGGATACTGGTTAGATATTTAATACAAGGGTGCCCCATCATATTGCCGATATTTTTGTATGCAAGAACACGATCTACTCTCCTCCAGAAATAAGAAAAGAGATAAAGAAGTTCAGTATCAAGCCTCAGCCAACACTGAGGAGATTGATGATCAATAGAGAGTTCAAAGAGGAAACAAGAAATTACATCAACACATAATTGGGAATACTAACTTGAATATGCTACCACAACAACTTCATCAGGAAGTCATTCTCACAGGGAAAAATTCACAACCAGAGAGGGCAAACCAACCAACTATATAGCTACCAAATGATGGAACGCAAGACAAACAGAAACAAGTTTTGTACAAGAACAATCCAGTTGAACATATAGCCCAATTGTACCAGGCATAGAAACACAAGAATAGACCTAAAAAAAAAGTACAATGGCAAGTTAACCAGAGCAAACAACAGACCAATATTCATCAACATCATAGCACAAAATAACCAACTCCACCAACAACTGAGTCAAGCCAAGTTAATCTAAATGCAAAACCTGATAAACCCCAAAACACAACACCTCAGACCAATCCTAATATGCAATATCCCATTAAGAAAGGTTCTCAGATGCTCCCTGATAATATTACCAAGCCAAAACACCAAAGTAGTTCTGATATCACCTCTACTTTTGTTGTTCCAAAACAACAAAATATATCCATCCCAGTTTCTAAAATTCCATAGACAACACAAATTAGCCCTCCACTACCAAGAAACCAGATAGAAAATGCACACACAAATCCCATTTCTCAAGAGCCTCCAGACCCTCATCCTCCTGATAATCCAACCTCTAAAAACCCCTGCACCAGATAACAATCCTATTAAGCACAATGTTCCTTCAGAGAATAGTGATGAATTAGAGCTGGATATTGTAAATGATGAAGATTCTGAATTTGAAGGGGAAGAATAAAAAATTGCTGAAAATAATCAAGTTGTTAGTGATTCCGAGAATGACTTTGAAAGTGTTGAAGATCAGTCTAAAAGTGAGAAAAGTCTTGATGCTCAATCAACTACCAGTGATGAACATACTAAAAGATTACTAGAAGCATTCTCACATCAATCACCACCACCAGATGAAATTGTTCAAGCCTTTGGAGATATAACTGATAGACACCACCTCTCACCTAGGGGGCATGAGGTAACCAGAGGTGGACTCTCATTAACCAGAGGTGGACTCACCTTTAGGGAGGGTAGAGGTAATAGAAAAGGCAAAGGTATTCCTCCTGTGAAATTTTCACAGGACAATGATGATCAATCTGCATCCTTTTAATGATTAAGTCTCTTATTTAGAATATTAGAGGCATCACTTCACAGGGTGCCTTTGACAGACTTAAGCAACTCAAAAGAAATCTCAACCTTTTATTCATTGCTATCATGGAACCTTTCAGTGGAAGGAAAAAGTTAGAGAAATTTAGGAGAGGACTTGGGTTTGATTTTGCGTATGCCAACTGGAACAATAAAATATGGTTCTTTGGTGATAGCTCTATCAACTGTATTGTTATTGAAGACCTTCCTCAACTTATCAATTGCTCAATTGATAATAATGGGGAGACTTTATACATGAACTTTAGTGTATGCTAAATGCAAACCTAATCTCAGGGAGCCTCTATGGGATAGCATCAAATCTCTACATGGATGATGATTGGTGATTTTAACGTTATTATTGATCCTTAGGAGAAAGGGGGGATCCAAAATATGTCTAAAAGCTTGCCCTTCATCAACTGCATTGTGGATAATGGCCTTCTGGATCTTGGTTGCATTGGCAGTCCTTTTACTTGGTGTAATGGCTGAGCACCTACTACGAGGATATGTGCAAGATTGGATAGAGCTCTTGTTAATTAACTCGGAATGGTTAGGGAATTTTGCAGATACCTCTGTCACGCACTTGGTCAGAACTGACTATGATTATGCTCATTTGCTTGTTTCCACTTTCAATCCACAATTGGAGCCTAAAAATTATTTCAGATTCTTAGATCTTTGGACTAAACAGGAGGGTTTTATGCAAGTGGTGGAATAATCCTGGCAACTACAAGTAGAAGGAGGCCCTATGTGGAGATTTCATCTCAAGCTAAAAAATATTTGTAAGAGTCTTTCCTTTTGGTCCAAGAATTCTATTGGGAATATTTTTGATAAGACCAAGGAATTGCAGAATACACTTGAGGTATTAGAGGAAAGATGTCTAAATGACAATTCTAAAAGTAATAGGATGGAATACAATAATGTGAATGCACAGTTGATTAGACACATAAAAAATGAAGAGTCATTTTGGAGACAAAAAGCTGGCTTGAAGTGGTTTACGGATGGTGACAATAACACTAGGTTCTTTCACTCTATAATTAATTCCAGAAGGAAACAATTACAATTTACAAGAATCAAGAAGCAAGATGGTACCTGGATTAAGAACAAGGATGATATAGTTACTGAAACTATTAACTTTTTTGAGCAATAGTTCACACAAGAAACTACTTGCAAAGATTTTTCAAAGATCAGAGGGCTTAACAGAGTAATAAATGAAGAAGATAACTTGGTTTTAGAGGCACTCCCTACCATGAACTGAAATAGGTAGTATTCTCCATGGAAAGTAGCATGTCGCCTGGCCCCGATGGCATTTCTGAAAAATTCTTTCGACACTACTGGAATATAATTTATGTTGATCTTTATCAGGTGGTTTTGGAATTCTTCTCTGGGCAACCACTTCCCAGATCATTCACTCATACATGCCTTTTCCTTATCCCTAAAATTGATAACCCGCAACAATTTACTGATTTCAGACCTATTAGTCTAAGCAACTTCACTTCCAAAATTATCTTAAAGTTGCTTAATAATAGGCTAGCCCCTCTTATGAATATAATTATTTCTCCAAACCAAACTGGTTTCCTTAAAGGTAGGTCAATCTCAGATAATGTCATGCTTACTCAAGAACTTATTCATAACTTGAATAGGTCCAATGTCAATGATAATGTAGTTTTTAAGCTAGACATGGCAAAGGCCCTTGACAGAGTTCCTTGGGACTACCTCTGTCAAACCATGAGGCAATAAGGCTTTTCTGAATGTTGGATTGATATGGTTGCAAGATTGATCTCTAACAATTGGTACTCCATCAATGTCAATGGAGTGAGACATGGGTTTTTCAAATCTTATAGGGGTCTTAAGCATGGAGACCCACTATCCCCTCACTTTTTATCATTGGGGCAGAATTGCTATCTTACATGATGGACCAGCTGATATATGATAATTTTATTAAATTTTTTGTGGATCGAGAGAGTCCTTTAATCACTCATCTCACATATGCTGATGATATCATCCTCTTCTCCTCTGGTGACTTGTTATCTATTCACACGATGATGAAAAGGTTGGAGAATTATAAACAAGCCTCAGAACAAATGGTGAATAAAAGAAAATCTACATTCCTGGTATCTTCTAAAACTCCTTCAACTGTAATTGAAGACATCAAAAGCATTACTGGTTTTTTCCATTAACAATTCTCTTTTACTTATTTGGAGTGCCCTATTTACCCTGGGAGAAGAAAATTTTGAATTTGCTACTTAGNTAGAGAAGTCCTTATCAAGTTTGTATTGTATTATATTCCTTTACATATCATATCTGTTGTGCATCCATCAAAAACTACCCTTTATCATATTGAAAAGTCTCTTGCTAGTTTTTTCTGGGGTACAACAGAGAGCAAGAGAAGTTATCATTGGTTTTCTTGAAAGAATTTATGTTATCCTAAGATGGAGGGAGGGGTAGGTTCTAGATCATTGCATGACATTTGCATTTCTTTTGCTGCTAAAGTATGGTGGAATTTTAGAACTCAAAAGTCTTTTCTCACCCTCTTCCTGGAAGCTAAATACTGCAAAAGATATCATCCAATTGCTAAAAAAAGAGTTATACTCAGTCACACTCTTGGAGAAGGCTAATGGACATCAAAAAAGACTATGAAACGCATATTTTATAGAATGTAGAAAAAGGTGACCTTTTGTTTTGGTAGGATAACTGGACCAATAAATGAGCCCTTGCCAATTTAGTTCAACAGGGAAACATGTCCCAGGAGATAAAAGTGGTTGATTTTATTGCGCACAACCAATGGAAGTTGGATAAACTCTGTGATACTCTCCCTTCTAATTTGGTTTATCATATTCAATCTATCAAGATTTCTCCTGAAGAGAAGGATCTTCATATTTGGCTCGCAATCCCCATTGGATCTTTTTCTAGTAAATCAACATGGAAATTTTTTAGAAAATCTAGAGGCTCTTCCTCACTACAGCTAAGATCTGGCACCGTAAACTACCATTTAAAATATCTTTTCATGTTATGAGATTATTAAATGGTAAGCTTGCAACTGATGACTCTTTGATCAGGTTTGGTGTTCATGGGCCCTCAAAATATTATTATTGCATCAATAGTAATATGGAAACTACAAACCATTTATTTTGTGACGGTGATGTGGCTCTAAAAGTTTGAAAATATTTTCAAGATGCTTGTGGATTGTCTATTAACTCTGTTGGTGCTATTCAGGCCAAATTCATCAGATGGTGGCTTATCAAACCATAAAAAAAAAGTTCATGACATGATATTGCAATGTCTCCCCTCTCTTATCTGTTGAGAAATATGAAAATATAGATGTACCTACAAATATGAGGGTATCAGAAGTTCAAATCATAGAAGCATTGATCAAATTACCTACTTGATACAATTGTTGTTTTCTACTGAATTTCCTTCTCTGCCTTTTATATCTTCTTTCCCAAGGATATGTCAATTGGTAGACATAATCAAACCTCAACTACACATTATTCCAGTGAGATGGAGTAAATCGATTGTATGGAAATTCAAATTAAATGTTGATGGTTGTAGCAAAGGAAACTCAGGTAATGCAGGAGGTGGAGAGTTGTTAAGAGATTATCTCGAATGTTTAATCATGGCTTTCACTGTTTATTTTCGTAGTTGCTCAAACAATTCAGTTGAAGCTCAAGCAATCAAAACTAGAGTTAAGATGGTGCTTAAACCATGGCTTCAATAGATTGACAGTTGATTCGGACTCTCTTATTGTTATCCAAATGATAAGAGGAGAAATTTCTGCTACTTGGCATAGAAAGGATGAGATCTCAACGATTCAAGCAATGAACCTAATTGAAAATTTTCATTATATTCACACATTCAGAGAAGGTAACATCCCAACAGACCTCCTAGCTAATGTAGCTGAAGTGGAGAGGAAGAGTCAGTTCTTCACTGAGGCTATAAAATTTTCAAGGCAGATTATATCCTTATTGAAGAATGATGACAAAGGGATGCCAAATTTTAAAATCAGGGTAAGAAAGAGGACCTTTATTTTTTATCCAGGCTGACTAATCTTTCTTAGTTCCTTTATTTTGTGAGATAATATGTTTAAGGATCACCCTCATAATTCTTGTTGGACTAGTCAAATTATAATGGATGGACTTAGTCCATCCCAGCTTTACTTTGAGAGGTTTGGTTTATGCCTCCCTCTATGTACATCTTGACTTATCAATGCATTCTCCAGTGGGGAGCTTTAATTGTTAAAAAAAATAAAGTATGAACATAGATAAATAGTGTTCTTGGTAAATGGAAGAACAAATCAATTTCCAAAATAATACTACTTCTATTCCTTTAACTTGTCACTTTTTTCTTTTGCACGACCTTTGAAAAAATATTAAGGTACAAAATGATCCCTCTTTGTTAGACTTATTGCTCCTTTGGTGACTCGAACTCATGACTCTGGGGTTATAGGTTGGGGTGCTAACCATCTGAGCAATGACGATCACAAAACACAATATGAAATTAATGCTCGCTAGTCAAAGATAGTATAGTAAAATATCATCTCTATAGGGATTGGATTTAAAAAATATTCAAGGAATTCATGGTTTAAAATGATTCTCAAAAGGTTCTTGGTATGGGATAATTAATAACTACAACTAACTATTTAAAAGTGAAACAAATGATAATTGATCGCTAAGAACTAGAGACTAGCAAGGTTGTTATCAATGTGAGAAATAAGGGTCATAACAGGATAGGTGCAAGATACCTAGTTAGGATCCAACTCTAGTTCAATTCACAATAATGTTCTAATGATTCTCGTGAATTCACTCGATGATTAGTTCAAACGTGTATCCAAGACTCCTCTCTCGATTAAATATTAACTTGACGAGGTGAACTAATACAAGCACTGTGAAAATATGCAAGCATACGTTAATGGATTAGTCTTCAGGAAAACGTCTCCTGAATATTCTCCTAACTTGATTTAATCAATAATTCAACAAGCTCTTTCGATTACTTAAGAGAATCACTGAATTAAACCAAACAAAATAATGCAAGATAATCACCACAATATTCATCTTTCGATTAAATAAACTGGTGAATAAAGTTTCAAATAATTCAAAGTTGTATCAACAAATTCATGCAAAGAACTAGAGTTAACATCCACAAATATAAATCAAAACACCATATATGTCCAACCCTATGGGGAACTACTCCATAATCATGAAGGAAGTCATCACAAATAGAATTAAAGAGTAAGAAAATAATAATCTAACGTTACAATCCAAACTCTCGTATTGAATTGATGGAACGATGATGAAATTTTGTGTCTTGTAGCCTCTAATGCTTTCCAAAAGCTTCCAAGGTCAAAAGTCCCTTCAAAAATGGATTTTTAGTGTATTTATACCATGTAGGAGTAGGTCTGGTTGAAACTATCCTTCCCAAGCAGAAACAAGAAAATACTCTGAGAAAATTGTATAGGCACGTCGTGCCCCGCGTTTGTGCCATGCGGTGTGCTAGTGGAGAAGTTCAGAGAGCGATTTCTAACGGACAGTAGCAGAATACACTGTCGCGCTGCCCCATGCAGGTAGCTGTGTAAATTTCTAGAGTAATTCATTTTTTTTAATTTTTGATATCCAGACGCGGCTCTCGACCCCCGAATGTGATCCCGGTTTAATTTTTTGGACTTTTACTTAGACTTTAAAACTCCAAATTATTCGATTTAGCTCTAGATTATCTTCTTAACTCGGAATCACTTCTTGTAAGGCATAAAACACGTAATAAGTTCAATTCACTATCATTTGAGCTCAAACATATGTAAAATACAGTAATTGAAGTGCAAACTATGACTAAAATACGGGTTTCTAGCCTACCATCAAGCAATTCCCTCTTTACTGGTTGTATGAAGTACCTACTACAAAAGTTTTATCTCTAGCCCCGATAGTTGTTTCTTTTGATGTTTCATCATATACCGGAAAGTAGATAACAGTTACGTAGGACCAGAGGCAGAACTAGCCTATTAAGTGTGGGATCAGCAGAACCCCGACATTGTTTCTTAATCATTGTATTTATACTAGAAAATTTATTGAGTATGTGTACGGGTAGAATCGGGGATAAAGTTACCCCTGATTTTCCGTTGAGAAGCGAGGAACAACCTTACTAGTTACTAGCTCTAGTGAGACTGAGGGTGCCCGCACATTGGAATCTGAGCAGACGGAATTGAGCGTAGATGAACCCGGAGAGACTCTAGCTCGAGCAATACGAAGGATCAAGGGTAAAGGAAAAAATGGTTAAAGAAGACAAATGGAGGGCCGAAATATCCGCCATCAGCTGGATAGTACAGCGCAGATCACGCTCGATTTTGGTTATAGATCGTGTTTTCATTAGAGAAAAGGAAGAAAATAATTTTTACCTTATTTAGACTTGTATTAGGTTCAAAACTCCTCTACTATATAAAGAGGAAAACCCTTTCAATTTTTTGGTCATTATTGGTACGCATATCAAAGCAATCAAAAAATATTCTGGCTATTAGTAATTGTTTAAGTGTTCTTTAGTTGTTCATTGACTTAGTTGTATCCACTCCATCTCGAGGACGGTTGTGGCCGATTGTTAGCATTTAAGCCTAACACGGGGCCTAATTACTTCAACATATTGGTTTGATTATTTATTCTCATTTCAATTTAATTATTTACTGTTCTTTAATTATTCGTATTAAATTAAACCACATATCATTTAAACCGCGATTATTTGTTATTCTTTAATCATTCGTATTAAATTAAATAACATATCCTTTAAATCGCGTACAGATTTAATTGTTATTCGTTTTAAGGGTAAATAAAGTATAAAAAAATATTTAATTATGAACCAGTAATTAAGATAGGCTATGAGATTCTAAACCCATAAATTTTATATTCTAACTCCACAACTGCATAGGACATAGAGATTTTTGCTTTAAGAATAGGTAGGCGTTTTCACCAGTACTCCATCAGCCAAGAAGAAAGTGGACCATGCAGCACTATTTCATAACGCGTAAAATTATGTGTCTGCGTAATAAAGTTTGACCGGTTTTCACATCCTCTTTCTCCAATAGAAGCTTTTATTGTTTAGCAACTACTAGTACTAGCATTAAAGTAACGAATTGACAGTTGTGTATCAAGATCAAAGACATATAACACCTTTGTAGGTCTACGTGTCAGATCTTGTCAATTGGAGTAATATATTATATACAATGCCGGTATATAGTCCTCTTTCCATTAAATAAGAGTTAATTTGACCAACGAGAATGGAAGCTTAAAATATAGAGGCATGAAAGAACTGTTATATTTCTATATTCGAAAAATATTAATACTGAAACGTTATAACAGAAATAGAAGAAGAAAAATATATCCATAGTCCACTAATTTCACAGTATGTTCTTAATAAAGGAACTTTATCCTCCTCCTAGTACTCTTTCACGATAGAACGGATAAGCCTCATTGTTATAGCGGTACTTCAAATACTAATATTTTATTAGAAAATAATGCAAAAAGAAAGAAGAGATTTCAAAATTTTTGTAAGGAAAAATACGAGGGAAAGGCTAGGTATATATAGCAAAAATCCTTTCTAGTGGCTGTTTGTGAAAAACCAGCGAAAAATAAAATGAGGGAAAAACTAAACTAACAAATAAACTTATATTTGTTGGTCAAAAAAATCAATCCATCAAATCATTTGACCAAATTCAAATCCAAATTCAAGCAAGTGATGATACCTTGAGACTTGTTTTCTTGTAAACTTTTTAATATATAGAAGAAGTATATCTCTATATAAGCACAAGATTTTTCCTCTCTTTTTCAACGAAGGATAAAGTTAATTTGCAAGAAGGATCTTTTCAAATTCATTTCCCTCTATTTTATGTTCACACCACTAACCACAAAAACCCCAATAAAAACCAAAACCAAATCGATTATACTATGGGATGTTCTTATACATGAACCATGTATAAGTACTTGATCGCATGCTATCTTCCGGAAACTAGTGTAAAATGCGCTGGATAATGAGCTACATTACTTAGTAGCCATATCAGTATATACATAATCTTTCATGTATTGATGTCTTTGTAATTAGGATGGTTTAGTTAGTACCCAATAATCAAAAAGTTTCAGTTATATATTAGCAGCGCAAATAATTTTTACACAAACGGTACAATTTAACTAACTATAGTAGGTTATCATCATCCTAAGTTTTCAAGTTATCATATCAGATTTAATATTAAGAGTTAGCTACATGTTGAATAATTAAACTTATTGTAGTACACTTCATGAACTTATAGTCAATATCCAAATAGCCAATCTTTAAGAATGTTGAGAGTTACTTGATCCTCGGAATAATGCCATCAATCCTTTTTCCTTTAATTGTGACATTAGTACTTTAGTGGTTGATATTTGGAAAGAAAGAATGTTTCTTTTACGGGCCGATGTTGATAGTCAATCTCGCTTAAATCTTGAACTAATTAAGTTAAAGCTCCCACAACAAATCAAATCTTCCCCTCTCTCTTATTATAATTGCTTTATCAACGTCCGCTTTTCTATCCCAAGTTTCTACCGTCCCTTTTTGACAATAGAAGTTCATTTTCAGTCATTAATACTATAGAGTACGTAAGTCTTTCTCCATCGCTACTTTGTTTGTTCTCTGACTAACAATTTACGTCACACTCTCAGACGACATTGAGGTCCATGTGTAAAGTCAGTCTGCTCTTAATACAAACCAAACTCAAACGTCCTATAAAAGAAGAAAACCCCAACATAACCTCACACCATTTTTTCTAACTTGTAACCAAAAGACAATACTCCACATGAATACTTCAAAGCTACTGTTGAGTGCTACAACAGCACTTACACTTATTTCAGTAATTTTAGCCTTCAACTCCGAAAATATGTTGGAACCTTCTCCAATACCAAGCTCCGAAAATCTCCTCCCAAAAGCAGAGATAATCCAACTGAAAGGAGCAGTTGGACCAGAGAGCATTGCTTTCGATCCAAATGGAGAAGGCCCCTATACAGGAGTTGCCGATGGCCGTATTCTTAAGTGGCAAGAACAAGCTCAAACTTGGGCTGATTTTGCAGTCACCTCTTCTGAAAGAAATAATTGTACTCAGCCATCTGCTCCTGAAATGGAACATATATGTGGAAGGCCATTGGGCATAAGATTTGATAAGAAAACTGGTGACCTTTACATTGCTGATGCTTATTTAGGACTTCAAGTTGTAGGACCAAAAGGAGGATTAACTACCCCACTAGTCCAAAAATTTGAAGGCAAGCCATTGATTTTCACAAACGACATGGATATTGATAATCAGAATAATGTAATTTACTTCACGGATTCAAGCACAAAATACCAGCGCAGGCAATATTTTGCTGCATTTGTAAGTGGAGATACAACAGGCAGGCTTATGAAATATGATAAGTCGACCAAAAAAGTAACAGTTGTATTAAGAGGCCTTGCTTTTGCAAATGGTGTAGCATTGAACAAAGACCGGTCCTTTGTGTTAGTGGCTGAAACTGCAAATTGTAGAATAATAAGGTATTGGATTAAAGGTCCCTACGCGGGACGACACGACATATTTGCAGATGTGCCAGGATTCCCAGACAACATTAGAATAAATTCGAGAGGAGAATTTTGGGTTGCTTTGCATGCAAAAACATCTGCTACTGCAATCAAGCTAAGCGCAAATGGACGAATGTTGGAAGTTTTGGAAGATGAAGATGGCAAGACATTGAGGTATATTAGTGAAGTTGAGGAAAAACATGGCAAGTTATGGTTTGGTTCTGTTATGATGCCATTTCTAGGAGTTTATGGACTATCTTGAAGCTTATAAGTGATGTTGAGGATAAAATATCCATTCTTTTGGATAATTTTTTGTCTTTCTGGAATGTTTGTTCAATTTATAATTGTTTAAGAATATTTGATCATCATCATATGTTCAGGGACAACACTAATAAAACAGCAGCTTATAAGTGGTTGTCTCTAAAATTCTGAAACCACCAAAAAAATGTTAAACCCGTGGGGTTCTTTTTGTCATTGAGAACACGGGTATGTGAACCCATGTTTCTCTCCCTCCCTGATTTATATATATTAATATTTTATTTTCTAAAAAATATTTAAATATATATGTGTGCACTTAGCGGCGGATCTAGAGTGTTGTAACTGGGTTCCTCGGAACCCACTAACTTTTGCATAGACATTGTATTTCTATTAAGAAATCTTCTAAATATTTATAAATATCTTATTGCGAACCCAGTTATTATTATATATTAACTTAAAATTACGATAGGAACCCAAAAATTTTAAATCCTAAATTCGCCTCTGTCATAGTGCGCTCGAGCGCAAAGTATCACATGATACGATGGTTATTTGGTGCATAACTGTCTAAGTGAGATCGTGAGTTCAATCTTTTAAAAAAATTCTTTTTTTTAGAACGAGGTTACCCACTGGAGATGGACAAGTCATGGTGTCACTTTTTGGAGATGGGTATTAAATAATTTACTTTTCTTTTTCTTTCTTTTGTTTAGTTTATTCTCTTAGAATTTTCACATATTATAATTCCTATTCTTCTTTTGTTACCATAAAATCTTATATGATTAAACAAAATATGTGTTTTAAAACTAGTAACAGTGTATGATGTAGCATATATTCAATGAGTTCAACTGATCCCAATATTTTCATTGAGTATAGATATAGATATAAGAAAAATACTAATTTAACAAAATTAATTATTAACTTGTAATTCTAAATTATAATTAGTGCAATAGTAAAAACTAAATGTTGAACTCTTAAAATTTACTTCATGGATTCACCTTTTCGTAATAGTGTATCCATCTTCTCAAAATCATAGATCTACCGCCAATTGAGAATATGGAATTTTATAGGTTTCCGATAAAAAAAATACGAGGTTAATTAAAAGTTGTTGATTTTGATAGAGATAATGATTCTGAGAGAGACGACACTGATAAAGACACTATTTTATGTAGTGCAGATGATATGAATGCACTTGCAAATTGAGTTTTTAAAATTGTTAGGTGGCACTCGGCATTTACTTGTCTGTTTGGTTGACGTTGAGTCGTTGACCAACACCATAAGCTTTTTTAAAGTCTATTGATAGCAAGGATACTTTGGTTACATGGACAAAAATTGATAAATTGATAAGTTCCATTTTTATCAATTTAAACATTACCATGGTCATTTGGTTACATGGATAAGGATACTAACTCTGCAATAGAATTTGATATTGTATTTATCCCATGTTAAGTTATGGGTATTAGCTAATACCGATATAGGTTTTATATCAAAATGGTACTAGTACTATTAACTATCACATGTATACATAGAAGATGTGATAGCTAACCTCCTGTGATAATCCAGCCCATCGGGTATTCTTGTCTATTCAACAATTGAACCAAACGACCCTTAAAAACATTAAGTTATGGAGGTTTGGATGGATAGGAAACTGGCCATATCTTTCATTTAATAACAACCAAACTACTTGCCTATGGTCCTAGCTATAGCTGGCTAGTCATTTCATCAAAAGAAAGAGCTATTGTCTTGAATGTATAAAAAGATCATTAAGTATCAGTTGAACTTGCTCTTCTTGTTAGAGGTAGTAGAAAAATTGGGCAAAATACATACTCCGAGTTGCAAAAATGTATTTCCCAGGTTTAATGGGACTGCAATTTCGTGTAAATTTCCAGGCAAGTGTTATGAAATATATAAAGAAAAAATATGCTAAAACTATGAAATAAGAAGGTGGTAAAGGAGTTGATTCCAAACATCAGGGACCGTAGGTAAACAACAGAGCATGCAATCCATATGATAACTCTATACTGTGACAAACTCGTTATGTTGATTAAACGAACGAATAACTTTGACGTGGTTTTCAAAACTTTCTCAACCTCTATTTCTCCTGGATGTACTCTTCCTGGACTGAGTATACTAATAATAAAAAAAAAATTAATTTCAAGATATTAATTGCCATCCTTAAGGAAAACAACAATTAGTTAAGAGAAAGAATGAAAGTTAATTACTCCCCATGGACAAAAGAAATTCCTTGAAAAAGACTCTAGTTTTTGTGGAGTTAGGATTAGAATCTCAGCTCATCTTGATGCTTGCCCATGTATTTATTGCTTTCTTGTAAGTTGTAAATTAAAGTTCCTTTCCATCCATATCTTTGTATGTTCTACTGCCATCTTGAATGTTATATTTAGAGGTGTCAAATGAGCGGGTTAAGTTGAATTTGGACGGGTAAAAATGAACCGAGTTTATAAAGGCGAGTCAATGACCCGCTCAAAGATTACTTGGGCTGAACGGACTGGACCAAGATGAACTAAAGAGCGGGTCATAATCCAACCTGCCCAATTCTTATCAAATTTTAATTTATTTCTTTGACTTCTTACAACCTATTTAATTACCAAACAAAATTTTAAAAACCTTTTTTGCTCTTTATTATAGCTATATATAACATAAAAAACAAAAACAAAAAGGTTTTTCCAAAAATATTTTGATAAGATTTCTCATGGGCCAATTTGGGCTATATATATTAGCTCAAATTTAAATGGGCTGAACTGAGCGGGCCAAAATAGGCTAAGCTAACAAAATGGGCAGCTCAAACTTGGGTGGGTTGGAAGGGTCATGTCCTTTTAGGCTGATTTTGACACCCCTAGTTACATCCAATGTATCTTACGTTTGTTTTTTCCCTGTGCGATTTCACTAATGCCATGTATTAAACAACATATCCATTTCTTTCCAGACATATCCCCAACTGATTGAATCAATCTTATGTACTCTTGAGCCTTTCTTCATGTCAATGTGAACGATGACATGATTCCTAAGAAACAGTAACCAAATATTGCATGTCTTCGGTTCACCAATTTCCTATCAACTCATATACTTATAATCATGTCTCAGAGGAGAAAAACAAAAAAGAAAGAAACAAAAGTAAGAACTCTGATATGCAGTTGTGGGCTTTCTTAGACGTCAATGAGCATTTTTTTCGGACTTGAGATGCATTATTTATAATCAGCAACCTTTTTCAATTTGAAAAACTTCCAAGTATAGTGGATTAAGTTTTTGGGATCTTTACACAAATAGCCGGCAACATTCATTGTTTACTTTTCCTAACCATATACATAGATTATACACTGATTATACATAATTATACATGTATAATACAAACATTATGCACATATTATACCTCCATTGGCTATTTTTAGTTTAGTTGATTGAGTGGACGGCTATTTGGGTTAATTCTTCTAAGTTTTTGTACGATAATGCCTCGTATTTTTTGTGTATTTTTAATATTTCGAGTTGGGATTAAAGGTAAAGATGAATTTCCAAAATTAACTCTTCATTTCAATTACTCCTATCCCAGTAATATACTAGATAGAGAAAGAAGAAGAAATGCTACCTCAGTTTTCAAAGCAAATTGGAACATAACCTTTGTAATACATATTTTTACTCTCTTTTATCCCCAAAAAAAGATAAGAAAAACTGAGGACTGGTATTCCTCCCTCTTCTCTCTTTAAATAATGGTGATCTATAATTGATCAAGAACTGCACTTAAGAGCAGATTCCAAGTATCAGCAACACCAGCCACGCACCAATGAGTGCAGTCTATGTTCCTGTGTCCACCAAACCCATAAACTGAAGGATGTCCGTCTGCTCTGTACTGTGACAATGTTGTCACGTTCAATAAATGAACTGGTTTACTCATCCCTCTCAAAACCTTCTCTAGTACCAGTTCTCCTGGATGAGGTCCTTGTGTACTCTTCAATGGTTGCGTTACTCCGGCACAACTGATTTTATTGTCAAATATCATACTGTCAGTGCACAAAACTTAAATTTATTTTATAGTATGTTTACCATGCATGCTAGTAAGTATAAAAATTGTCTTAAACTCACTTGTCGTGGTCAGGAGAAACTCCTTGGAAAAATATTTTAGTTTTTCTTGTATCAACTTCTGAATCCACCCATTTTCCCCAGGTATTCAGTGCTTTCTCGTATAGGGTTAACCGGGGTGCGTCTTTGTATGTAGAGTTGCCATCTTGAACAAGATCCCAACTGCAAAACCAATCATAATAAAATGACCAAACCTAGAATTCCATCAAATAATGAAAGTAGGTTTGATGTATTGACGATGCAAAAAATATTTAATAAATTAAATTCTCTTATAAGATAATTACAAGTAAATTTATATGACAAACATTAGTTAATAACATGTACACTTGTTAAAATTAAGTGATAGGGCAAAAAATCTAAAAAGACAGTTCGGGCACAAAGCATCACACGTTCATGCACGATCCGAGGAAGAGCAGTATATAGGTAGTCTACCCTGATGCAAGCATTAGTAGTTGATTCAACTGCTCGAACCCGTGACTTATGGCCACACAGAGACATAGTGAACAAAATCTATACTCTATATTAATGAAGGTAGAAATATGGGAAACTGATTGAAGAGTACTTACGCTTGTTTTCTGCCACTATGAAGCCACCAATGCCAAGAATCAAAGATGAGGACATCCATTTCTTTCCATTGAGCAGCAGCACTGAGAGAATCCAGCATTAACACTCGCGTCCCGTTGTTCTTTGTAATAATGTCTACTAGGAAAACATCTCGGAGTATCAAGTACGACGTGTTGTATTTCTGCATTTTGGCAATGTATTCAAGAATCAAACATAAGGCACTTGGAAATTAAAGAACTTGATTAACATTCTAATCTAGATCACCGTAACATTTTAGAGAATAAATTAGTTATCAACACGACTCGTTATTGACAATGAATTAGTGATGAAAAAGTTAGGGATGCCGATTAGACGGATTTAACTACATTTGGGTAGGTTAAAATCAGTATAGGTTATAATTTGCCCAATGTTTACTTGTGTTAGGATGAGGGAGTCAATTGAGACGAAACTAATAGTC